CAAACTGAACTATCTTTTGCAGTTTGTAGTCGGAACCTCCTTACTAGCACCAAACAGCAAAGGAGATAGGCGTCAAGGTTTGGATCGAGAGAGGTACATTATGTCTTCTACCCTACATTCTTGTAAAAAAGTGGCTATATGCAAAACCCTGATTTTTAAAGATCTCTGGCGCAGAGGAGCACACGATACTCTAACTAGAAATAAGAACCTGACTGGATGCCTGCCCAACTCTGCACTCTCCATCGGCGGTACAGACATGTAATTGTTTGTCCATCATCTGCATCGAGGAGCGCTGAATTATTCGACTGAAGTTCGAGTCTCCTGGTTCAGACAGAATTCATCTAGTTCACTTTTCACGACCAAGTTGATTGCTTGGGGGAATCAGTGTTGCGGATTTTAAAAAGTCTATGAAAAATGCGAATTGCCGGAGAAGTGGAAAACTTCCCTTAAGCGAAATGTTCCGACATACGTGGGGAGATCTGGGGTGGAGTCGGGAATTTGGTCTGCCGCCTGCTTAACTAGTATTTTGTGCCAAATCATGGAACGACTTATTTGGAGATATCGAGGGACATTCCTCAACCAGACGTATCTAACAGGGCTTCCGCTGAGGTCGCCCTTGTCATACGAGTGTTAAGTATTTGCAGGAAAAAGGATAATAATCGTAGATAAGGGCTGCTCAGTGGACTGTATAGTCACTAGCTTTTTGAAGGCGTTGGATTGAGCATCCCATTGGTACTTACAACAAAACAGTTTAAAGTGTGCTGCCAAAGACGTAATTTATAAGTGAATATGAGACTTCTTATCATCAGGCTGTCAAGATTTATAGATGGCTTTACTGAATCGCAGTAAGTGTCAGTAGGTAGTGGTGCTGGATAAGTAAAAGGTCAACATCTTCTATTCACCCATACCGGCGACGGCGTGGGGAATTTTGACTGTGGCCGTTATGTTCGTTGATGACGCAAAAAATGGAAAACGATTTTAAGTGTTAAGGCGTAAAGAAACTGTAAGAAAACGATGGTAAACTGACCATCTGCGCACTGTTGCCCCTAAAGGCTAGTTCAAGTCACCTCCTAAAATAAGGACATTTCACAAATGGGCCTCAGCAAGGAGATGCCGAAACACACAATGACCAAGCTTCCGGAAGGTCGTGAACGACGCTGCCAAAGTGTAGCCCAAAACACCACCAAACATTGCTCATTGAATTAAAAGCACTTCAATAATAGAAATATTGCTGACAATGCAACCTTTTCTGAGTGCGAGTTTGAAGATAATATCGGAGTAAACATGGCACGGGCCGAATAAACAGCAAAAACTCCTCATTTGGAATTTCAGGTTTGGTCAGGTTATAAATAGTAAGAATGTGCATAAGTATTACCGTTCAAAAGCAGAATATTGTGGCTGAGGAATGATCAGGATCCGGAGCCGAATTCCTTGGTCTCAGAACTGGATGAAGGTCGAATTCCCAATTCCTTTACATAGAATGGAGGTTGTGTAAGGGACAAGCGGGTGGATGGGGAACTTTCCTTTCGCTGTGGGCGGAAGAATCAATTAATTTGTGACGGACAACAGTCAGCAGCGTTTTCACTTGGAATATGACGAGGCAGACAGGCTAAAGATAAATTAAGTAGATTCTGGCGCGTAAGTTATAGAAAAGCAGGGAATATAGTAGGAGAAGGATAGTTGTTCCAAATATTTGCCAATTTTGCGGGATTTTGTGATATAAGTACAGCATTGCAGACAACAATTGCGATAAAAGGAAATAACTGACAATATAAAAGTGCGCGGGTAGAAACGAAAACAAAAGGACCTCGTGGTGATCAAAATGCATTAATGTAATGCGCGGTCAACTGCACGAGTATTTAGTTGCCTAAGTAGCCAAATAAGCCCTTTTAAGTTGGTAACATCGTAAAGAATCAGGGTCTAGTATTCTGCAGCATCGTTTGTGTGTCAAATTACGATATGTCGGTGTACAATTCTTACAGAACAGTATGCTTGAAGCAATCAGTTTCCTCCTGTTCAACAGTGGGAGGAGCGACTACCAGAAAAGAACAATATTCCAGTTCACATCCAACGCACAGTCTCTGACTTCATTAGTTTCGGTTTCATAGGGCATATTTGACTGTCCTATATGTTTTTAAGACAGTCACGTTGCGAGGTTCCGAATGTGAACACTTGGAAAAGGATGTACGCAGATCTTCGATGATTTCTGGCATAGTTTTATTATGAACAGAACTACTGAGATGAGTTATATAGTTTTCGCCAATGTCCATAACTGGACATGCCCGCCAAATAAGGTAAAGCGGCCATGTGCGTGTCCAGTAGGCAGAAACTCACGGGTCATTTTAGGTGCTCAAGCATAGTGTCCCAAGCTACCAGCAGTAGAAAAATCCAATAGCTAGCTGGACAACTAACGCTAAGCACGAAATCACAAACTCATATGCTGATATACTGGTTTCCCTTAAAAATAATCACTTATCCTAATGCTATGACAGTGTTGGACCTTTGTTTTCTGTTGTGGTTTCTATTCATCTATCGTAGGTATGCACGAAGTGCCCCATTTTTGAGATTTACTAAATCACCTCTTGGACGCTATCAGTCTCATAAGAACACAGCGGCGCGCAATACAGGCAGAACAGCATAGTAAGAGGAGTTGAAATTCTAACCAACAGGACATGGGATCGAGCCCCAGGTGTTCCATACTTCGGGGTTTCGTATGACTGGCCGATGATGGCTAATAAGCCGGAAATGGCCATTCCAGCCTCCCTTGTCTTTGTCGATGGTGTTATTCTGCCTCTGTTCAAGCTTAAGTCACCCTGGGGATAGATGTGCGCTCAGGCACAAAGCCAGTCGCGTGTTTCGAGATGTGACCATCACTAGGTCTCTGTGCAGAAAATACACTTTCTCTATCGGGCTCTTTCCCCTCGCCTCTAAAGCTGGACTCGACTGTTACTCCCATGGCGCTCTGAGGACGCTCACTACAGCCTCGTGTTTTTTGTATTTTAAAACATTCCAACCGTCCATTATCAAATTAGTCCGCCTTTAGAATATTTCAGAGTCAAAGTGTAGACCAGCTGCCTACAAATGAGGCAGATTTTCTTACCTCTTACGGACGGAAATTCTGCCAAGTCTGCCTTAGTATGTGCTTTCATATCACATAAATGTAACCCCCGCAAATTAAGTCAAAACATTGCCACTTGCTTATTTTGCATATGCTAGAATACTGGTGCTCTTTCGTTGGTATAATGGCTATCAGAGAGAATGGCTAGTAGAAAATACTGGGAAATTGCTACTAGAAAACATTTTCCAGGTTGAATCTAGTATTTCTTATATCCCGATTATCTGGATGGTCTGGAATTTTTATGTGCTAGAATGCTTGGAACAGGTTCTTTCTTCTTGGCTTGTCTCAGTCCCAGGCAATATCATCCGCGTGTTGACGTCCTTATGCACATGGATCGGTTTCATTATACGCATACATCCTTCATGATAACTTCACCTCCTTTGTCCTACTCATAAGAGTCCTGCTTCCATTGAGTCTCGATATAATTTCCTGTCGGATAGCATAGTAGCATTCCATAGCGACTGGATGTATTTTTATCGTGACTTCTCGCAATGGGGATGTTGCGCTATGTGGTTGAGTAACTGGACTGAACCATCAGCACAATCACTGGTTATCTTCTTTTGACGGACGCTAATTGTGAGAGCGTCACGCCGCCATTATTGCGTGCGTGCAACGTGCTGTGCGTGCCATCCAGCGCCACATCATGCTGTGCTATATACCTCTTTCATCCTATTTAATCATGTATTTTTATGTCTATAAAGTTCAGGCGCGAATTAATACGTATTTCCAGATGATGTGTGAAGGGGGATAGCAAGGAAATATCTATAAAAACAGAAGATTGGGTGGATGCAATTGTCCCCAGTAACAGACGTCATTAAACGGATGATTCTGAAACGGAGTCGTCATCTGAAGATAAGTGGAGGATATTATTTTAAGTGGTTTTTCTGTGAGACCTAATGATTTTAGTACCTGTTTTTTGTTTGAATTTCCTTAAATACAGGCCTTTTCTCTAAGAACTGCCTGCTGCCATCTCCTTTCGAGTTTTGCTAGTCTATGCCCGTTGTTCACTAATCGCATTTTGCAATTCTCATTTTGTGAATCCGATTTCTCTCTAACTGTTGTAATTTATTTTTACATCGTTAGCCCCTAGCTGAAATTCAGTCACATTGTCTGCCAAAAGTTTTCTTAATCACAAATTGCCTCGAGACAAGATGAGACCAAAAGTCACTGGTCGACGTAAGCTCTCGGCTCTTGTAAGCAAACATGGCCTAACTAAACGTAAGTCAGAAGCTTTACCTAAATCTAAGTCAGATGATATTACTAGTCAGTCGTCAGCCGTTGTAACTGGTCGGCAGCTTAATCTGTCTGCACTTGACCACTGCAATGACTTTATGTTAAAGTTTGGCTCTTTGCTGACAATTCTTGGACATTTATTCGACAGGAACATCTCCGATATTCCCTCTGAAGAATGTAGGCGTCTCGACTCACTTGTTCACCTGATCGCCAGTGAATCTAGTGATAGAGAGAAGCGTTCTTACAACTTCCTGCTAAAAAATGTTCCTCGATCTGCTCGGCCAATTGATGTTGCGACCAGTTTCCTGTATTCATGTGGTTTCAACTATAAAATAGCTGATGCCAAACGCTTGTCCTCCCGTAGTACAAATCCACCCATCTTAGTCAAATTGTTTTCATCAATCGAAGTTGACACAATCTTTACTCATCGAGAGCGTGTCACTGCGTACCTAGAGAAGGCAAAAGTTTTCCTTTGTCATGATCTTTCTCCTATGGAGCGTAGAATGGGGTCTGTATTCTCACGTAAACCTACTGCTTCTCAGTCTAATGCTCCCCAACTCGGTCATAATACAAGTGGCCATAAGGATTCAGCTTCTCCTACTCCTGCGACATCTGACTCCCTCCTTCCTCTTTCTCCTACATCTCCATCTCACTCAAGCCACTTGACGCATTTGCCTGCCCCTAAAGTTGCAGCAGCAGCAGCAGCAGCAGCAGCAGCAGCAGCAGCAGCAGCAGCAGCAGCAGCAGCAGCAGCAGCAGCAGCAGCAGCAGCAGCAGCAGCAGCAGCAGCAGCAGCAGCAGCAGCAGCAGCAGCAGCAGCCCCATTTGTCGTTTCGTATCCTCCGGATAGTCCCGCTGAGACACATGAAATTCCGTCTACATCAGCTAGACCGATAACTTCTATTGTCCAACTGGGCGCTGTAAGGTCTACAGCTAAGTCACCCATGGCTTGGCGTCAGAACGGTGAGACTCGAAAATTGAATCAGACTCCGACCCAAAAGATAGGTAGTACAGTTCCGTTTAGGGGTACGACGCCTTCTCTTGGATCTAACAAGTCTGTTCAGCCCAGCACGTCTACAAACCCCGCAGCTCCAATTATAT